CCTTAACAGCAACCCAGGCTATGGCCTTCAAGCGGTTGAGGCCTTGCGCCTGCAGCTGCCTCCCGGCCCTGCCTCCGCTCTGCTCTGCCTACGCCAGCTTCGCATGCACCACGTCGTCCTCAGGGTTGGCGGGTTGTCCGCCAGCACAGGCTGGCTTTCGGTTCACGCGGCTGCATTAGGGCGTCTGACCCTGGCGCAACTGGGTTGTTGTTAAGGAACTTAAATTAAGCTGACATAATGGGTATATATAGTAATTAATAAGGTTTCCCCGATATAGTGACTTAAATTAAGTTACCATAATGGGTATATATATAGAGTCACTAATATGGTTTTCCCCAATATAGTGTTAACCCAGGCAAAGCTGCGAGCCCGACTTCGCAGGGGCCCTGGCTGAGAGCGGCGCGAGCAGGCGCCTGGCCTTGGCGGCCGCCACAGCGCAGCTGGAGCGGGCCATCGCACTGCAGAACCAGGCTGCTTACATGGGAAGTATTGGGGGTATATAGGGGCTATATAGGGATGATAGGGTATATATTGGGGTTTTAATTATGGGGATAACGGAAAAGAAATGGAAACTACTATAGCCTTATCAGGAATGTTTGAGCTGGAATAGTTACAAGGGCACGGTTTGGCATGAAGTTATCAATACATTCCACGGAAGCGAACTGTGGCAAATACACACAAGACTTTCTGGCTGCCACTAGCTCCTCTTTCATGTAGAAGCCTGAAAATATAACTTACCCCTAACTAACACCTCAAACCCTAAAGCCCTCAATTATAACCCCTACCAAGCCCTGGGCCATAAAGCCTAAGTCCTAGTAGACACTACTGCAAGCCCTATGCCTTGGACCTTAAACTTCAAAGCCCAAACCCTCAACTTACTGGGGGTTTCAAGGGATTAAGGGGATATACTTTTGGGAGTATACACGGATTCTATTCCCTCATTCACTACTAACCACCACTAAGTATCAAGATCTCCCAGGCGGGCGTGCTATTGGAGGTGGGTCGGCTGCGCCTTCTGCAAGCGCAGGCGGCGCAGGCGGCCCTCAATTCGGATGCCGATGGCCATCAGCAGGAAAGGGGTCATAAGGTACAAGGTTGTTAGATCAATGCTTGGGATCCTATTGGGGTAAACTATAGGGGTTATATTGGGATAATGGAAAAGCATATGGAAGCTACTACAATATAATAGGGCATATATAGGGGTTACATAGGGGTTATATTGGGATAATGGAAAAGCAATGACATGGAAGCTACTATTTAGGGTTTAGAGTTTGTGGATCCTTCATATTTTTTGGTGTATGGGATTCCTTATGTTTATGCGGACAGGATCCTTTATGAGGTACAAGGTTGAGGGCTTCGGCTTGGGGGTCAAGGGCTTGAATTGTGCTTAGGGTTGTACGATTTTGTGTTGAAGGTTCAAGGGAGCTTGGTTGAGGCACCAAGGTGCTGACTATTCTGATGTTCTGCACCCAGGAATGAGAGTAAGACAGGTCAAGTGTTGGCTGGGGTAGCTTTTCAAGCCGGTTTTGATTACTGAAGATCCTGACCTTTACAGAAACTCCATCAACTGTACCAAAAGAGATTTGTTTTTCAATGAGCTTCCAATCTTTGAAGTGTCTGGTGTTGATTTTGGTGCTTCTCGTCTCGAAAGTCATGATGAGAACCGCAAAGACGACACCTATAACAGTACATTCAGAGCACGAGAGGCCTTCTTAAGCCCACCGAACACAAATCGATATTCCTAACTCCTAACCACGTGCCCCAAGCCTTGAACGCTATCCCATTAGCCTACAACCTGTCATATCCAATGGAAAGAAATCTTGCAGAACCGCCCTAGACTTCTCCTAGAGCGCTTACAAACAACTTTTTTTCGCTGCAGGAGCCTGCTCGCTTCGTGATGGCTGCCTTTGGGGCCTGGATGAAAGCTCTAGGAATTTGCCCGGAAGCTCTGTCTGGCAGGACTTCAGGGTTAAAGGTTTGCTTGCTGCTAGGGATACGGTGGATACTAAACATCCAGGATGACCTTCCCGTACTAAACTTCCATAGTTTCCAGGGTTTATGAACACGCAGGATGTGTTGAATCGGCAGTGCACTTTCTTTCGACTGTGGAGTCACGATCAACAGTTTCAGGATTCTCGTCGCAGCTCCACATAGGGGTTTCCCAAAATTAGGGCTAGCTTTTTGGGGTCCCTGTAATAAGGACTATAGCATATCGGGGTCTATATTGGGGTCCCCTATTTTGGGAAACTACCACATCTCATTGTTGGTTAGAAGGAGTTGTTTGGTTGTTGGTCGGTTTTGTTAAAGCAGTGCTTGTTTATTGGAGGTTAAGGGAGCTGTTACGAGGCTCCGCAGATAGCGTCGTGGGGCTTGCAGCGTTGGGTAGTGTTTTTGTTTCGGGGCTTGCTTCCTACTAAGTTCAAAACATTTTTCAACTCAAGAAGGATGCTTGTGTTGAGGCTCTGTTCGAAATAGAGACCATGATTTGCAGCAAATTCCTGCACACCCACGTCCCCAGAAAGAGCAGAACAAGTTTGGTGAATCTCACATCTTTGACACAGCCCCATGCCAGGACCCCTGAGGCCGTGGCGCAAGCACTGCAAGGTGTGGTGGACTTACCAAGCGCAGGCCATCTCCCCCTCCCAAGATGGGGGTTTCCAAAACTAGGGTTACTTTTTCAATGGTCCCTATTTTAAGTACTATAGTATGATGGGGTCTACCCTGGTCCTCCTATTTAGGGAAACTACCAGATCTTTGAGGGTCCAACTTCTACGAAGTTGGGTTTGTTGTAGAGTTTGGGTGAGGGAAAGTGGCTCCAACTCCGCAACATAGGTACAACACGGATCAGTGTATAAATGGGCTGTATTTTTGCGCTGCCCGTAGTAAGGATCTCATTTCAGCTTCTGTCAGCATGACGGCTGCCATGGGGGATACGAAGGCTGGGCATAGGTTACATTTTCTACACCTGAATACTTCTCCAAACTTGGATTCTGAGCCCGCAACCCTTAAATCGAAATAGAAATTTCGCTGACAAGGCGCCATCCTTGATTCGTTCGCAGAATCTCGTCTTGTTGGTGCACTGTCGGCGTGCTTGAACCACGAATCCATAAGCCCCTATTTCCTGAACCCCAATCCCGAAGTCCCTCACAGATAGATCCCCAGCCTAGATCCCCAAGCCTCTAGACCTCCCATTCCGAAAGCCCCTAAAGCCCTAAACCCTAAAGCCTAAACCACACATTCCTACAGACAAGGGCTTAGTATGCTGGGCTACAGGCTCACAGCTTGGGGTTCAAGGCTTGAGATGCAAAAATTCAGGGTGGACATGAAGATTAGGGGTAGCTTTTTGGGTGTCCCTATAATAAGGACTATAGTATTTTGGGGTCTATATTGGGGTCCCCTCATTTTGGGAAAGTACCACATGTAGATAAGAAGCGGATTTTGGCTACCCTAACTCGAAAGCAAGGACTTCATAAGTCAATAGGCGGATTTCGGGTACCTTAACAACCCCCAAATCACCAAGACTTCATGACTATCAAATAGTTAGCTCCTGACTTGGGGATTGGGGCTACCCAGATCCTCTAAATCCCTGCTGTTAGTTGTATTTGTGGTTGGAAAATTGGGTTGTTGGTTTCCGGCAAGCAGAGTTAAAGCTTGATGATGCGGCTAAATTTTCTAATGACCCTAAAGCCTTCATAGCTCTGATCGCCGAAGCCCCGCAAGGGGGTCTCCTAAACTTGGGGCCCATCCTCGGGAGCACCTAAAGTAACAAGTATATTACACAGAGATCTAGATTTGGGCAGCTTTTATGGGAAGTCACGCCTGAACTGGCCAGGGTCCACCACACAGTCCTCGCAGTCGTGGGTCCTGCTTCTGCGCGACGCCTCGGACGCTGCGCACCTGCTCGAAAGCATGGACTGAGGGTTTGGGGTTTCAGGGCTTCGTAGGGCCCAGGGTTTAAGCATTTAGGAATTAGGGTTTCGGCACTGGGTCCCTGGCATCACGACTATGGTTGAGGGTTTCGGGTTTTAGCGTTTAGGGTTCAAGGGTTCTGTGGAAGAGGAAGCTATGACTCTAATGTCCAGGAACACAGGATCTGCTGAAGGTTCCAAAGCAAAACAGGGTGTCTGAAAGTACCTTAAAGCCTGGCACCTTAAACCCTACACCATCAAACAGTGCTTTTGACAAAAAGCAGCGCTCTCGTTTTGGCGTGGCAGTGGGACCCCCTGAAAGCCTGCAATGCCGAACTAGGTGACCTACATTTCTCCTCACGCTAGAAGTGTCAATCCTTTCACCCCTGTAGCAGCTCCCATCCAATTCCCGACAACATCCTACTAAGAGCTAGCAAGTAAAACCTAGCGGAAGGAGCTGCACTCTCTGTCTTTTCGCGCTTTGGCCGCGCCCTTGGAACAAGCGTAGAGGGACCTGCCGCATCTAGCTCCTGTTCTGTCAATGTGAGTCTGCAGGGGAGCAACATTCTTTCAGGGATTGCAACATATGCACCTGAAATCACCAGTTCTCCAGACCTCTCCCATGAGCAGCTAGATGCGCATAGTCAGGCTTGATACTGTGGGAGGATGTCTGGGTTCTGGAAGAAAGGTTTGCAGCAGCAATTCGAAATCCCGGAGGATTTTGAATCCCCCTCTCTTCAGGGTTCTCAGGCCTGATCCGCTCGCAGAGGAGCCCTGGGCCCCCCCAGGAAAGGAAGACCCTGGACTCGCAAATCCGACGTCTCAGCCTTCAATCCTGAAGCTAAAGCACTGAACCAGAGAATTACTTGAACCCTAACCCCGATTCTCGAAACCCCACAAGCCTTAGCCATGAACCTTAAACCGGCAGCCTCGAACACCGAACCCTTGGTATTAGTATTTCTATACTCATAATAGAAAAATGATAATAGTACATTATCATTAGTATTTCTATAGTCATAGTAGAAAAATGACAATGGTACAAAACAAGAACAACAGTACTACTAGGTCCTATGCCTTGCATGCCTCTGTCGACGCCACGGTGCAGCGGCACTCTGGTGGCAGCCCTCGCCTTACTGGGACTTTGTGTTGTGTAAGCTTTATTGAGTTTGTGATTTTTGCTGTCATTTGGGGGGTATGATGGTATGAAAAAGAGCTTACCTGTTAATGTCATTGTAAGCAAGAGTGCCCGGCAGTGCTGTGATTGGTCATGCAGGCATAATCCGTTTTTCCGGGCTAGCGTACATCTAACTTCAAGCCCAAACCCTAGTATCCCCCCTGATAACCTCTATAGTAGTCCCTATATAATCCCCTATATAACCCCCCTTTAAAGAGTTTAGACTATAGTACATCTAACTTCGAGCCCATGAGACTACTTCAGGGTCGACGGCTAGCTGTAAGGCGGGTTACAAGCAGCCCCAAACTTAAGTTAAGTGCCAGGAAGACGGGTATCTTGTGAGCTGCAGGCATGTTAATCTGCCTTCTTTTGGGTTCCGACCTTGTTGGGGTCTCTGTTTTTTGTGGCATTAGTTTAGATTTGGGCATTATGAGTGGCTTCCAGGGCAAAAGGCGTAAGCGGTGGACTTGTTCTGAAGGCATCCCAGCGATGAGTTCTATCCGCAAATGCAACGGTCAGTACCTCGAACAATACTTATGGATCATCGGGGAAGTTACAGAGTAAACACAAGGTCCCGCAGCCGCAACTTGCGCAATCCTGCCCAGAGTGTTTCTTGATGAATCCCGGTCCTCGTTTCGTGTATTTAGGTAGGAGTAACACAGATCCCCTCATGAACAGCAAACACACGTTGCAACACTTGTGCCTGAAGGGCACTAGCAATAGCAATAGCAATAG